GAGCCAGGCGCCTGGGCCAATCACCTCCAATGCTTTCAGCTATATTTTGTTCAGCCTTGAAGTGCATGACCCCATCCACACCAGGCAATAGTATTCCATTGTGAGCCTTTCTAGACTGCCGTGCGGCCGCTGGAGTCCAACAGGGGTGCAACATTTCTCAGGAAGTGTAGGCGTTGGGCAGCCTTTGAGGCCACGGCCCGGAGGTGTGCTGAGTGGGACAGTTACGAGTCGAATGCTATGCCCAGAGGTTTTAATTCCTTCTCTTCAGGAACAGTCATTCCATTGAAGAGGACTGGTGGGACCGCTGGGGGAGGCTTGCGGTGGTCAATGTTGAGGGCCTGAGATGTGGTTGGCTCGAAGGTGACCTTCCAATTGGAACTCCAGAGAGACGGCATCCACTGCTTTCTGTAGTTGTGTTGCAGAGTCGGATATGCTGGCAGCGGCAGAGATGCACTGATACAGTGTCGTGTCATCTGCATAGGTGGTCAGCTCAGCGCCAGCAGGCAAGGTGCCGTCGGAGTCATTTACGTAAAGGAGGAATAAAGTAGGTCGAAGGATGCTAACTTGCGGTACCCTGCTTGGAAATGGTGCAGGTAGGAGTCTTGGCCGCCCACAACAGCCTGCAGGCGCCGGTGGTGCTAGGTAGCTTTCAAGCCATCCGAGAAGCGGGCCGGCTAAACCGTACACGGAAGCCTTGTGCAGCAGGCCATCATGGCTGACTTTATCAAAGACGCCTGCTACATCTATCGCCAAAACATGGGCGGCTCCTCCAAGGCAGGCTGCTCTGGACCATTTCCAGTGGAGCTGACGTCAGCTGTGCTCAGGCCCTTTTTGAACCCGAACTGTTTCGCGGAGAGGACATTATGGGACTTCAGGAAACTGATTATCTTACGATTGACAATCGTTTCCATCACTTTGTATATTATTGACAGCAGAGACGCAGGTCTGTAGTGTTAATGCTTACATCAGGTGAGGAGCACTTCGTATCCCCCTGTCGGAGCTTCAGATCATGTACTCTTCGGAGGACATGTGACCATTGAGTGCCCACCACAAGAACCACCCCAGAAAAACGTCGAAACTTGGCGCTGAAACTGGGACCCTGATCGCGTCGTCGCACTGAAAGAGGCCCTGCACTCAATGCAACTTCGGCCACAGGCTTAGGAAATTCCGCAACTATCAATGTCAGACCTCTGGTCGCATTGGCATGACTCACTTATCAACACAGCACACGTGTCCAGTACTAACTTCGCACCACGACGTGTACATCATTCTCGCCCAGGTCGGCGACCATGGATGACTACTCACCAGCTTCTTTGCAGCATTAAACTCAAGCATCAGCTCTACCGTCAGCATCTCAGAACACGCAGCCCCGAGAACTGTCTCGCGTTCATTACTCACCGCAATATGACCACAACACAACTGAGAGAAGCTAAATCCGCCTTTGTATCCACTACGGCGCAAGGCGAAAGTAACTGGTGTCCCGCACCGAAACCTGTGCAAGTTAATGAAACCACTGCCGCCGTTCCGAAAATGGAGCTTCCACCTATTTCAGTGAACGAAACAGTGGCTAGATCCGATGGAGAAAAGGCGGAAGCGTTTAACAATTTTTCATTTCGGAAAGCCAGAAGTCTGTCTTCGGCCCAACTGAAGTCTTACCAGAGAAAGCCGTGTCCCGCATCATCGGAAGCAAACTGAAGGAAATCATCGCCACCCAGGAGGAGGCCAGAAAACTCCTTTTCGCTCTTGATTTCCGGCTAGGTACGATGACATCGCTACGAAATTGCTCAAGAACACTGCAGACGAAATATCGTGTTCCCTCGCAACGCTTTTCAATTAGTCCTTCTCGCGAGGCGAGCAGCCACAAGACTGGCGCGACGCCACTCTCAGTCCTCTACACAAGAAGGCCTCTCGAGCAGAGATCACCAACTATATTATGCCAATCTCACTCCTGAGCATTGTCAGCAAGGTTCAGGAGAGGATTGTTCACCAATGTCTCTACACCCACATTGAGCCACACCTACCGGCCGACCAATCTGGATTTCGAACTAAGGATAGTACTGAACTACTGCTCTCCCGCCTAGTGCATGAGATTTCCTCCAGCCGGGATTCCGGTCAGGCATTGTCAGCATGCTTCTTTGACTTGTCAACGGCTTTTGACCGAGTTTGGCATTTGGGCCTTCTGGCCAAACTCGAGCGCCTTGGTGTCCGTGGCATTGCCCTTACCTGGCTCACAAGCTACCTGACTCGCCGCCAACAACGTGTGAAGGTTGGCTCCGCTTTGTCATCGAGGAAATCCATTCCAGCTGGAGTACCCCAAGGCTTTATCCTGGGGCCTCTTCTTTTCCTGGTGTACGCAATCGACCTCCCCCCCAGCATGTAAAATCTCGCACACCAAATGCAGCCAGTTCGCCGATGACACGCCGCTCATCCGGGAGCAATAAAAAAATAAAGTAAGTAAATTATCGTGTCTGTTCCCGAAGGGAACTCACGGCGGCCGCTAACACCCGGTAAACCCTAGCGGCAGATGCGGCAGATCGCGGCAGATCGGGACGCAATACACGAGGGATTTTTCAGCTGCATTCCTCCAACGTGCCGTGGACGCAGCAGGACGATGGTTGATGGATTTGCAGCTCCTCGTCAACACCACGAAAACCGTCGTCCTTTCCTTCCAATCCCAACACACCATCCACATCACGCTCCACTCGACTCTGGCGCAGCAGGTCCACCAACATAGGCATCTTGGTGTCGCAGTCCAAGAGGCTATGCAATAGACCCAATACATCATAGAAACCGCCAACAAAGCCAAAACACTACTATACCAACTCCACAAGACACGTGGCACAATGAGCCCTTCCAGCCTATTATTAATCACCATGTGAAGATTCTTATCAATCACCACACCACACCGTTGCCCCTCTATACACGACCTACATCCGACCCGTTCTCGAATATGGCAGCCTTGCCCTCTCTAACAACACACAGGAACAGCGGGACACACTGGAGAGAATTCAACGCCGTGCTATACGCATCTGCCTTCAGATTCCCGTCTTTGCACCAGTTCCCCACAGTTCCCTCCTCCATCACGCAAAGCTTCCCACACTTAACTCATGACTCCTTTTTGAACAAGTCCTAGAAGCATGGGCCATCCAACACCAAACCCCGAGCCTCACCACACCTGCAACAACCATATATTGCAGGACAAGGTCAACACCAACCATACACCCTTCGACAGACAAGAACCTACTCCATCGGACACGCACACACAAACAGGCACGGAGATTCCCCCCATCAACAGAGCCCTTACGGTCTACAACTCACTCCCTATCGACATCACAACCCAACATCGTAGAAATTCTTTCCAAAACAATGCATCCAGTCTTCTTTTGATCAAGACCTGTTCCGCGCATTCCCCAGGTTTCTGATATCTCGAACGTCTATTCAACTATCTCGATCACCCCTGCTAACGTTATTGCCCCTGCTTGTTTTTCACCATCCATTGCTACTTGCCTCCCCGGGTAATTTCCATTTAGCTGTTTCTGGCTAGTATCAGTTCTATCACACTTATCAATTGTCCATATTAGCGTCACGCCATCGTGGAATAAAATCATATTTTTATTATTATTATGTTTATTTGTCACACATGATAGTTTGTTGAGTGTACAAGCATTGCGCTAATATCTTGACCCATTTCATTCAATATCCTGCATCTCCTCTGATGAGTACCCGTCATCATAATTATTTAGAAAGAAACAGAGCTTGTAAATAGCAACTTCTACTTCAGAAGTAGCTGTTGTGGAGTGTCACTGGTGCAGTGTTCGTGCTGGTTTCTGCAAGCGTCGTATGGTCTCGTCTGGTCACAAGAAAAATATGCCACTACTGTTTTACGAACCTACTGAAAATAACATCAACATTCTATTTGTATTGTTGGTAGCAATAGAGAGAGACAAAGAGAGAGATAACCCGGGGCCAAGCCCACCACGCAATAGGAATAAGACTCACACTTAGAACATGGACAAATTATGCGGGCGTCCATTAACCACATTAATTGACATAATCAAACACCATGTGAAGATTCTTATCAACCACCACACCACACCGTTGCCCCTCTTGACCAACTGAAGAGCAGCAACATCACTGTTACTGAAGTCTTCGCTCTAGGCTAGAAAAAGCATCAATATATTATACAGAACGTTCGTTTCTCATGCTTCAATGGTTTGAAACACGAAACGATCAGGTTTTATTAGTGGCTGGCAGTCACTTCTTGTATCGAATCATTAGTATTATCGCTTTGTCACGATCGTGGCCCGACGAAGAGCGAAGAGAGATTATTAATTCCAAATAACCTTGCTGTTAAATCCGACTATGTCCAGAGATGTTTGCATGGCTGCGTGTAAATTAAGGGAGAGAAAATCCATATTTATTTTTGAAAGAAATGATCCTTAAATTTGGTACAATTTACACGATAAAATATCTAAACGGTGCACATTGCATCTCTTTTTCCTATATATTATGCAGAGGCAAGTCTTTCATTAGCGCTCCGGTAGTTTCTCAAAATGGTATACTCAATCTCTTCGGCATTCTAGCAACTGTTGTGGATATTGGCACATTTGTGCAAGAAAGTAGCCTGAGCATTGTAAAGGTTAATCCGGTAAGTATATTGTTCATGTATGAGCTGAAAATGCAAGAACTTAAGTGCTCACGACGCTTTAGAAGCACTTTGATAACTATGAAGTGGCGAGCGATACTGTGCGGTGATTCCATACTTTATGTACAATTGTCCTCTACTCTTCCTCATGCGCTCTTCAGCCGACTAGCTGCTACCCTCAGTATCCACTACATAAAACAGAAATTCCAACACCGAGGGGTTACGGGTACTGATAATAACTTTTACCTTGACAGCTTTTTTACGTACATGTACAAAAAAGCTCGTAAGTGAAGGTGAGACTGAATAGGATCACAGTTGCTTTTACTGAAAAATATAGGCGCAATGTATTGAGCAAGGCGTGAAACTGAGAAAGAATGGAGCATTGCATTGCGAAGAGCACATCTACGCCTAAAGTAGAAACGTTTGCAGGAGAAAACTCCCTTACAAGCCTACACTCAACAGAATGTCATGGCCAGTGCCAATGACAGGTGTATATTTTCGGTTCGTTTTTCCAGCTTTGTTCTCCATAAAAATGTGTCTACAGGCGAATCTACAGCACTTTCTGAGGCGAAATGTGTCCTATGGGTGGCCTACTGTCGGAGCCAGTATTCGTAAGCAGTACAGGGATATCGGACGATGCTCACTGGATCCGAAGATGCACAGCCCCTCGGTAAGACAAAGGCTAGAATACCTACAGACGCTATGGAGAGGTTGTGGTATGAAATGAGCTGCATGGTTCTTATTGTTACTGTTGTTATTGATACAAAATTTGCTGGTTCACCGTACTGTCAATAGTGAGAATGAGATGAAGGGTGGTAAACAAACACGGTTAACTAAAAAGTACATTTACGAATGAGACAGAAAAGATAAAAGAGAGAGACGATTAATTACACACATCTTCAACCTTCAAGGGGTTATTCTTTACAAAAATGACGATAATTTTTGACCCGCTCGTCTTGATGTTTGCAGTCTGGTTCAATTTCTGTGAAGACGCACTAAGCAGAATCTCAGTTTGAAGGCAATAGCTACGGTAGATATTTGTTTAAACCATCAAGAACTGTTTTGACTACCTATGTTTGTGTGTTGCTTATGCCTCTCCAGCTGAGCGTCCGTAAAAAATGCTACATACAAGCCGATCCGATTGTTCTCCTCGAAAATCAACCCGCTACCAAGAGCTACCAGAGGGGCTCAAGAAGTAATGGGTCTTGTGCAACATTCGGTGCCACTTTTGTTGATACAAATCAACTGAACAATGACGATACAAGCATGGATCAATGGCACCAGTGCGCTGTTAGTAACTCCTCTATTTTTGCCGTAACTAACCCGAACAATGCGCTCGGCAAAATGTTAAACCTCAGCACCGCCTGGATTCTGCTGGGACAATCAAGTACGGAGTGCTACAAGCATCTCGGTAATACCTGGCTCTACACTAGAAATCAGTGTAGTATGAAAATGTTACAGGAAACTTACATAATGAAAAGGTAATTACGTTTTATGGGAATCGAATATTGAATCTCACAAACAAAGTGCAGTTCCGGTGGAACATTCTCATCCATACTAAGCCCACCCTAAAATATCTCTCGAGCAAACACGCAATAGTACACACCATCGGAAGTTATCCAATACGTAAAATAAATCGAAGTCGTTCTAACAAGGACTTTACAGCTTACTACAGAAGTCCTTTCACACCGCACGGAATCTATCCACGTTTCTACACCCTTTGCTTTTTAGATTGTCTGCAGGACAATCCGACAGCGCACTTCAACTCCTTGCTGAGCGAATGAGCGGCAACAATGTGAGGGACCTCAGCAACGTTATCATTTCCGGATCACTTATATTGGTTCCGTGGTCACATTTTAGCGGCATTCGTTGGAGCTCCTCTACGGGAAAGGGTTCTGGGCGGGTTCTCTCACGTATTACTTTATACCCAGCGCCAGGAGAGCTTATTACTGTCAATATTCGCACCTATGATGACTTCCTGTCTACGACAAGTTCTCTAATAAAAGTCAAGGTAAGTTTTAGTTTGGCAGGATTAATTGTTTAATGAAATCCCGAATTTCAAGTGGTGTGACGGTTTCTTTTCTTCAGCTGTGAAAAGAGTGGTGCTGGGGGGGGGGGGGGGGGTGTTTTGTAACAGACAATGGACAAACCCTTTACTTATGTTAGAATCACCGGATCACACACGCGAACAGCCACGGTTACAAAAGGACGAAGGTCAATATCTCTTAGTCTCAAATCGAGATTCGTTGGAAAGAGAGCGAGAAAATGTCCAAGTCAGAGCTTATCAATAGCCTGGGTAGCTATGGAAATGAATGTACGAGAGCGCGAATCCAGCTACCCAGGCCAACGGAAGAAAAGGTTAGAAAAGGGAACAAAGGTGAGTACGAGAGTGTAAAGGTGAGTATGAGAGTAAAGGTGAGTACGAGTCTGTAAAGGTGAGTACGAGTCTGTGAGTGCATACGAGTGTGCGAGTGCGTACGAGTGCTAGCATTATGTGAGTTCGTGAACCTAACTCTTATAATGATTTGAAGGCTCCACGTGGAACCTTTCTTCTGATGTGAACGATGGCAGAACAACACGCGAAGAGTATCTAGTGCTCTATCTAGGTGGACGCTTTGACAAGCAAGATAATTATGGCCTCCTAACCTCCCCAGGAGCCCACTGTGGGTGATTATGACAGCATAAAGTATAGGTATTAGCGATATAGATTCTACAGTTGCTTGTGTCTGTCACTATCACAGTGTGTCTTTTGACCCTTTCTGCAGCTGCCCTTCCATCATCACACGAGCGCTCCAAAAGAGACACATTATACCTATCGAATTAGAAGTTGGCTCGATTAACGTTGAAATCGTTCGCCGTTTTGTCTCTAAATAGAGTTTGCAATGCACTATGACATTATGTAGAGCATTGTCGTTTGACATGGAATGAAGGGCCGTTGATATGTTGGAGACAGATTGAGGATATTCTGACATGAATTGTCTTTTTCTTTATGTACTGCCAAACGTTGTAGATTAACAGTCAGGATGATGTTTATATGCTACGCTATGGAACAAGACATAGCGATAGAGGTCTGTATGAGCACCTGGGAGAGATGTACTTCATGTCCAGCTCGCCTCTCACCGGCATAGCCCTTGGCGGAGAACCAGGAGCGCGAGGATTCTTCCGCTTCAGGTTGTTGGATGATACTGCCAAAGAAAAGAATTCTAAAGATGGATTCTACTTGGATGTGCCATTTGAGTTGCGACCTTGTTTTGGAGGCTTCTACGGCCCTCATGTAGCGGTAAGGCATTGGACAGAAATAATAGATTTAATATGTTAGGCTCCAAGTTTATGTTTTCAAGTATGAATGTGTTTGTGTATTTGGCGTGGTTCTAGGCGTGATCGCCATCTATTTCCTTTCTGATTTTGACGTAGTCCACTAGCTATTGGGTAAATCATTCATTCGCTTTGTGTTGTATTTTTATTCCTGGCATATAGAAAATGGTTGGCCCATGTGACTCTGAGGACAGAGTTATCAGATCCCACACCGACGAAGTTGTACATGTACTTGTCGTAGGATCAAAACCCGTAACCAATTTGTTGTTTGGAATTGTTTGTGTGTGAAATGGCTACCGAGGTTAGCAACCTGTCGGCTCAGAGCGATCGAGGAGAGTATTTTGCATCAAACCATTGTAATTCTATTTCCTTGAATTATTTATATTGTGCATCAGGTCACCATACCCTACAAGCCACTGACTCCACTGACCAAAGTGTGCTACTATATGAACTCTATAGGGATAGAGAAGTACAGCAAGGGTCGTTATTTGCACATGAAACCGGGTTATGGGGCCGGTAATGTTGCGACCAATAGCCATCACGACTCAGAAAAGGAACCTCTTGATTGGAAATCTACTGCTGTAGATGTGGTGTTTGAAACGGAGAGCAACATTTCGAATAGCACATTCAAAGAGACGCAGGCGTATGCATCATTCGTCGATTACCCGTTCGGTATTGCACAGTGCACGAATGGACTTTGCAAGAGTAGTGCGTGGTTCTACAATGGATCGGGAACGCCAGCATGTGTTGGCAATGCCGCGGGTATATTGTGTGGAGAATGCAGAGCCGGTACAAGACTGAAGCTAGCATTAGCGGTAAGAATAGTAACATGGCCTACAGAATATTCAGGTGACAATGATGCATTCTGGTTCAGCTCTCAGTCTGGTGTGTTGCAAACAAGCTGGCTTTGCCATTTTTTTGTTAGGGGTGAAAGTTTTAACCGAAATCCAGAGTTCGAATACTCTGATTTCCTCCGATCGAATGTTGAAGCATTCGAGAATTCTTTATCTCCTAAAATTGCACACCAAGGGCCATAAAATCACATGATACAGCCTTGATTGAACCGAGTTGAAGTCATGTCATTCGGGTATAGTGGGTTTCCTTTGGTGTAGGCCTCGACCAAATATGCTAAACAAAGAGCACATTATGCCCGTCGCATATCAGGGAAAGCGTCCATAATATGCCAAGGGCTTAGCAAGATATGCAAAAAAATATGCCAAAATATGCCAAAATATGCTCGTCATAAGCAGAAAGTGTAGATCATTTCAGGTAAATTACAACCTTGGAATATTCATTGGCTTCACGGCTATCATGCTTATAGTGCAAATCAAAACACATGCGGAATAGTATGGCAGGGGTGTGTCCGCAGCAACCGTAGTGATAATGTTCATCCATGCGGGAATGTAGCAAACGCCTCAGCCATTGCAAATTCATCCATAAAAGGCATTTCTGAACGCATTTTGTCCATGATATGAATGTTTTGTCCTCATTTTCTTCATAATATTTGAATTATATGCTGGCCCCATTACAATATTCCCTTTGTCGCTCAATATGCCATATTATATGAACTATCTCACAAAATACGGTGAAATATGCGCAAGCATATTTGGTCGAGGCCTACTTTGGTGGTGGGTCATTTGGGCTCCCTCTACTCGTGAACTTGGTTCACCACACAGACTGCACATCAATATCTGACCACTGCTGCTTTGAAACTGCAGATTTCTGTGGTAAATGCATGTGCCAAGTATAAACGAGTACTCTGATTTTTTCCGAGTACGATTTTGTTTGAAAAAACCGAGCGAGTACTCGAGTATTCGGTATAATTGTTTCACCCCTAATATTTATATTTTTTATTTGGTAACCCTGAGCGACACACACTTAGCATGTTTGCGCAAGCCTTCCTCTCGGACTTCTAAAAATAGTCGCGGAACTAATCCGGCCAATACTGCATGTGCAGCATTGGCCGGGTTTGTTTTGGCGACGGTATTACATGATTGATTTTACTTGCCTCTTCCGTGTCGTTGTACAGAAATGCGTTGATTGCTCAATGACGTCATCTATTCCACTATGGGTATACGTCATAACCATGGTGGTAATGACAGTCCTGACATCCATTCTGCTCTTCTACTTCAATGTTGGCCTTTCACCAGTTCTGGATAGCTGGCTGTTCTTTGTGCAGGTAGTATTGGTTATTATCCGTTTTTGAAATACATATCACATAATGAAAGGATATTTGCATGTACATGCATATCAGTTGGCGCAACTTCCTTTGAATCAGGATTTTTTTATCAGAGAAACCATGCGCATGAAGCCTGATTGAAGGCACCAGACAGCATTTTGTTCGATGATGCAACTTCAAATCTCATTCTTGATTTCAAATAGTAAACCACAGGTCAAAAATTAAAGAATGCAAGCGGAATTATATTATGTTTTCGTATTCTGTAACACACTACCAACCAGAAGAAAGGTACACATGATCACTAGAATAGATCGGAAGATCAAACGTCAAGAAAGTTATGAAGTAAGGTATCAGTGATGTGCTGTGTTCGGAAGGAACTCGTACTACATGTATGTTGAAACTAGAGCCTGCCATGATTTCTGCTTCTTTTGGTTGTTATTCAGGCGTCTTGGTATATCATCCCGAACAAAGTTACATTCTTTCACAGCAGCATCTACACCGTGTTGACTTTCGGACTCGGACACGTCTGTCTCAAAGAGGACCTAAATCGACTTCAAGTCAGCACTCTAATCCTCATCCAACCAATCACACTTCTTCTCATCTTCCTGGCTATACGCATTGCACGATCGTACAACTACCTTGGAACTCGATTGGCAAGACTTCAGAGCCACATGAAACTAGTGCGGGTCATGTGGTTTGTTCTGGTCTACAGCTACTTTATGCTCACCTTCACAGCTCTCAGTGTGTTCTGGTGTGTGCAAATCAACGACAGGCTGGTGCTTGCCATGGATGGTTCCGTAGACTGCTATGTGTCACCTCATCTAGGCTATGTCCTGGCAGCGGTCGCAATCCTGGCCATAGTTATCCTCCCACCGCCGTTGGTATTACTCATTCGACGAACACATGGTCATATCATGTTGAAGGGTTTCGTGGACGGGGCGTGCTGCATGTACACTGATGAGTGCCGCTGGTGGTCAGCTGTGAACCTGTTGAGGCGTATTGCCATTGGCCTGCTTGGATCACTACCGTTTTCGAGCGCGGTTTCCAGACTCTTGGTGACATCTGGATTCCTTCTGCTACTTCTGATGGTGCATAGCACAGTTCGGTACGTTCATTTCTTTCTTTTTTTTCTTTCTTTTTGATCCGTGTTGCTGCTTGGGTGTCAAATACACCATGGCTTAGTGGTAGGGAATCGCTGGTCATAAGCGAGGGTCCCTGGTTCGAGTCAAGGTTTTCTTCAGACCGTTTCCCATTTCCAACTTCCCCACAAAGTAATGAATATTTTTCACAGCCTTAAACCATAATGATTATATAGTGAAGAACGGTAGCGAAGATGAGATCCGACCAGATTACTCGACCATGGGTCTCTGTCTCGTTGCTAGCTGGGTGCACTGACAGGGAAATAGATTCTGTACCCTCCGCGAGTGTGGAGTGGACGATTGATCCTGTTATGGCTGTTCTTGGGTTCATGGGCAAATGGCGCTTGTCATTCCTTGTCGCAACCAAACAAGTGTCTGCGTGCAATTATGTAGATGTGCTAGACTTTGACAAAGACAAGACAAAGCGGATTTTATCATCCTCCT